CAAAGAAAAACCCGCAAAATGAAACTGAAACCAAAATAAAAGCGTTTTTATTTGATCGGTAAAAAAACTGAAATTCGTTTGTGAAGGTGAAAAAAATTCAACAAATGTCTCCAGTTTGGGAAGGAAGGCGCAGAGAGAAGGGAGTGAGGAGGGTGAGGAGGGCGAGGGGAGGGGGGGCATTCCCTTTGTTTACGCAACCACACACACACACACACACAATGTGAAGTGTAGCCCCGTTAAAATGAGCCGCTGCTTCATTACGCGGCGGGAACATGTGACAGCAGCCACATTAAACAGGATTAAAACATAAATATTATAATTATATCAATCATTAAAAACAATTGTAGCTTTTACTCACAAAAATAAACCAACATTTAACAGTTTATTTAAAGAAAACTCTTTTTTTCCTCTTTTTCTTGCTGCTGGATTCAGAAAATAAAAGACAAATTATTTCTTCCATTTGAAATAATCAGAAAATAAAACCAACTGACAGCAGAGCAGAAACGACTTTAAAACGAGTGTGTGTGCGTGTGCGTGTGTGTGTGTGCGGGACTCACCTATGTGGAGCGCGAGGAACAGAGCGAGGCATTTGGAGGACCAGGTTACTCCCATCCTCTGCGTCCTCCTCTCACCATGAGAGCAGAGATTCAGAAAGTTGGAGAGCAGCTGAGGAGGAGCCGCACATTCCCCGCACAACAACGGCTACATCCAACACTCTCTTCCTCCTCCTCCTCCTCTTCCTCCTGCCTCTTCTTCCTCTCTTTTTCTTTCTCTGCTCTTTTTCCTCTGCGTGCTGCTCCTCTTCCTCCTCTCATCGAGCTCTCCGTCGCTCTGCGCTTCCTGCCTGTTTTACGCGTCTGGAGAGAAAAAAGAGGAGAGAGAGAAAGCCCCTCCTCTCCTCCCTCTCCTCCTCCTCTCTTCCTCCCTCTCCTCCCTCCTTCTTTTCCTCCCTCTGGTTGCCATGATTTCATCACATCCTTTTTGTCCTTCATTCATTTTTTGTATGTTCCCTTTGTTTTCTGGCTCCCGTTAAACAGAATATCATTTAGAAGAGACCTTTTTCACAGCAGCAGTTGGGTAAAACCAGATGTTACCAATGAGACTAATTGAGGCTCAGTTCCATTTAGTGTAGCTGAATGGAACCAGTCCTTCCTTTTCTGTTTTAGGATCAGTTTTAAAACAAAAGATAAACAATTAAGTAATGGATAAAAAATTAATCCAAATAAAGATATAAATTAAAAATATAAATATATATAAAAGAATTAAACAAACAATATTCACGGCAGATTTTCTGAATGAGTGGCAACGTTTTTGGGGGTTTTGCAGCAACGTCACCAGAGGAAGAGAAATCTTCACTTCATTTAAAATGTTTATTTTTATTCTTTTATTAGCTTCAATCACTACACTGTAATATATATACATATATATATACATATATATATATATATATATATACCATGATAAATACTGTTACTC